GTCACCTACCGCTACAAATGATATCTCGTCGTTAAAAAAATCTCTTAGCAAAACTACGAGGATCGTAGCAGAATTAAGTTTGTATCCTCCTGTATGATATGAGTAAAACGTTTCTTTGAATATTTTCAAATATTATTATATGATATAACCGTTATACATGATCGATTAATTTTATTTCAAAATGTAGCTAAGGTGCTTTCAATACTACGTAGAATGTAGAGTGTTGATGAACGACAGCCTGGTTAATTGTTGAAGTGGTCGCCACTTCTAAGAAAACTCTACATCTGGTCTTTTTAGTTTTCTCAAGCACCGAAGCCCCATCGACAGCGCGTAGACAAAAGACTGCGACGTAGACAGACCGTAAACGGTAGACAGGCGACGTTGGCTTGGGGGTTTTCAGTTATTGGGTAACACAGCTAGCGTGCGGGTCTGGACCAGCTCAAATTGTATTCTTACTTATAATTACGCTTCTATTTAAATATATTTTCTACCTTACAATTTATCCACGAGTTTCTCTGTTTACACATCAAATAACCACAACATTAACGAACGTGCGACGCGTTGATATTAGGGTAATTGATCTGTCACATGGTCGAATATTGTTCTCGTATCCGAGCAACTTACCGAGTGACGAAAATCAGGTATTTCTTTTGTTTTCTCGAATGATTTCTCCACCTCTTGGGTATATTTCGCGCGTATACAAAGCCACAGAGAGTCAAAAGAAGAAATTATGGTCGCAAATGCCCGGCCCATTGTTCTTACGATCCCATTTTCTTTTTCCTCGCACTTTTTTATACACGGTGAAGATACGTCGAAGATAAAAAGGAACAAAAGCTCGCGAGAAATGTTCCACAGACGAAAATTATTCCCTCTTTCCATCTCGGTCCGATCGAACGTCTCGATTATCCCGTTGATCACCTTTTCATTCCATTCGTTTGCTCTGCAATTTTAGATACTAATTGGATATTTTTCTAGCCATGTGAAATAACCGTGTCCGGACCATTAATTTTTCCAACGCAAACACGCGATATACGTGTGTTTTTAAAAATGGTAGTAAATTAATTTTGAACCGGACAATTATTTTACAAAGGAAAACTGTTGTAAAATTTAAAGAATACGTATAGTATTTCTTCTGCGATTCGCTATTCGTGCATGAAGTGTTAATATCCGAAACCAGTCGTACATTTCTAACGTACGTAGTATATCGCGAAAGTTACGAATTCAAAACAGACATCGTACGTTCAGCAGCCATTCAACTTGCTAAAAGGGTGCAATGTACGATCAAAGTTCCAAATACAACAGAAAAACGGAAACAAGAATTTTGAATATGCTAGATGAAAGACGAAAACCAGTGAGAGATATAAAGACCGTGTGTCTACATCAACATGATCAAAGGAGAATACCGCTGGTCTGGCATAATGCAAGTTTGAAAGGAGTTGATAAGACGCGACGTGACGGATACGAACGGCGTAAACGCGAAAATTGCAGTGCACCCTGGCGACGTGACGTAATGTGACAATCAATATCCATAAAGGACGCACGACTACACCAAAGTTCGTACAAAGTATAACTTAATTATATAATAAAAAAGTTTCTGATCCATCCATCAGACGGAATTTCTTCGTCGATTAAACTCTCTTTTTCATTTGACAATTTCGTCAAAACCGTGACATCCCTTTCGACAGCTAAACATCCTTCGTATTCTTAAGTTCTTAAACGATATTATCGATGATTCTGAAATGTGACAACGAGTTAACGCTGGAACTACCGCACCAGTCAGATCGACTGGTTTCACAATTTTATTATAAAATTCCTACTTCGTGTTATATCTTTTTTCCGCAACGATGTAACGACTTTCGCAACGATGACTAAAAGAACGATACAATGAATTTTATTTCGTTTTTTATGTATTCAAACTGAAAATAATTTTGCATCGAGGCTACTTATAGCAATACCAGTGAAAATTACTGGTACTTGTCAGAGTGTAAAAGGTTCCTGCAATGTGTTTATCGAAACCCATTTAAACAGTTTCCTCGTTTTCTGCAACTTGCCACGCGTTTTTCAAAGTTTTACCGCGTATCATTCGATATGATGATATCGGTTATCGGGAAAATTCCGGATCGATCGCTAGATGCTAACATTAAAAAATACCACACCAGTCGAAATGGCTGGTTCTGCGATTTTATAAATGTGTCAACCCTCGTTTAGGGATGTTGGTCTCAGATGGATTAATAATACCAAAAGTGTACTACATAACGTGGAATTGCTTCTGTAAGAAAGTAATAAATCGATAAATATAAAAATATTCCATTATTACGTATTTGTCAAAGACCAGTCATTTTCACTGGTTTTGGTAGAAATAGCTTCGTGTTAACTATCGGTAGTTCTAGTGTTGAACTATCAACGACACGTATAATAAACGCTTGACTCGGCAAGATCTCTGTTTCGCGATTACCACTAAATAGCCGTGAAATATCTGTTCTTAGTTTTCCGTACAACTCGCTCGAAGTTCAGGATTTTATCGTTTTTCCTGTAGGGTCGATTTAAAAGTCACGTCGATTGGTCGTTGCTACTTCAGCATCGCCGATGCAACGATATTTCTGTAAATCGTATTTCACTTAAAATTCAACGTTTGATCTAGTAATTTGGGGATAGATATAACGCAAAGTTCGATATCCGGACGCTGCAGTGTCAGATGAATTTGCAATTCGTCACAAGTGGTACACAAACGTGTGTAAATATGTACGTACCAAGAGGCTCGTTCCAACCTGAAACTCGCGTTTCGTTGTTCGGTCGAAGACCTTGACGACATTTCCTACGAACAAGCGTATTCTCGTTGCTCGCTTTCGACCAATTTCCTGGTAAAATAAGGCCCGAAAGCAGCGTTCTGATCGCGTTTTAGCAACTGCAAGGGACGACGCAATGCGTCGCTCGACGTCGCGCCGTTTGGTCGAGTCACGGAGCTGCACAACTGTGTATCCGCATCGCCCGCGGCACATCGCGTCAGCTTTTCAGTCTTTCAGCCTCGTTCTGGTACACGGAAAGGGCGAAACGACCTTTCGAAATTCAGCCAGGCCGCGATGCACAGGTGTTCTAGCAAGAAAAGCGAATAAAGCCAGTTCGCTTCGGTTGACTGAATAGAACTTCGCTTGCCCCACCCAGCCGCGTTGCACCGTGTCTCGCGGCTTACTTTTCGTTCCTTCGAACCTTCCTACCGATTTCTTCTTCTAATTAGGCTTCGATGGAACGATCTCGACACGGTTTAATTAACGGCTACCTCGCGCGTATTTCTTCCTCTCAAAGTCTCCACGGAAAATATGGCGGAAAAAATGCATCCTGATCCGGATCTTGAGCGATCGATCGTTCGATAAATGTAGTTACACTTTAGCGATCTTATTAGCAATTACGTGTATTTACATTCGATTTCTATTGACCACGTTCCAACCACAATCGAGTGCTCCAGCCGAAGTTACAGTTCTACGCTTGTTTGAAATCTCAGGTGGATCGATCGATAACACGACGCGTATACACTGCCATATGCCTTGGAAATATCGAAAGGAAAGCTACGTTTCTTGCAGTCGAACTTTAAAGATCGAAACGACGAGTTCGGCGCAAATGTGACATTTCTCGGGAATATAGATCGATGCATCGATGAGGCCCGAGTGGTCTACGCGAGGTGCAATCCTTTTAAGGGATAGCCTGATAGGCTTCGAGCATATCCTGTTTGCGTGCTTTGGAAATGTCCCCGTTTAAAAGCAGGATGACGTTAATTACGAACACGGTGGAAATAAGCGTCGCAGTTTAAAGGCTTGGTTTTATAAACTGCGCGAACGATGTCGTCAGAATCACGGGATATCCAGTTTCGCTCGATTAAAACGGCCATATCCGTTTCAAGGATCCGAGTAAATGATCGTAATAATTAATCGTCCGACCTTAACCTTACGCGTTTCAAACGCGTTTCTTCCAATTACGTGCTTCGTTGATATTCGCGCGTTGAACATTTTTGAAACGCGCGTCGCATCTTATTGCCAGCTTCTAGAAATTTCGTTGGTTTCATTCCGCAAGATACGTTTCGAAAGTCTTTTAAGGTAAATATCACAACGGGTACATTCCTTTCATCGTGAATACAGGAAACGTAAGATTTTACAACTATCGATAGAATACTCGATCAAAATTTGATTAAAATTCCTCCGATCGTTCGATGGAAAATAGGTCGTTGTAGTACGGAACTTTCCTGCCAAGCTATAAAGCTCGATTATAGGTTCATCCGCAGTTTATTTCAGACTGAAGCCTGATCGTTTACTAAATGTCGGCTTTTTATAGCCATAGTAAACGTAAAATCGCTGTTCTCTGTAAAATCGAAGGTACGAGAAACTTTGCTGCGGTTTGTCGATTAGCTAAATGATCGTTTCTCGTTCGATCATTTTTATTCCATATTTGAATTATAACAAGAATGAAATTTCCCATTTGCAATATCTCGGAGTCATGTCTATCGTTTCGTATAGCGATATGATTCGTCGAGATGTATGGCCCTTGTCATTGCTAGTAAAATATTCTTTGATCGACTTTCGATGAATCGATCGTGACGCTTTTGTTCTTTACGTCGAACCTACGCCGTTGAATAAATTGTACGAATCTCGACCGAAAGACGCGTTCCATCCCTAATTTTCCACGGGAACGTAGTACGAACGATTTCTCGGAATTTCCGCGTTCTGGCGTGCAACGATATTTTCCTCGTTTCTTTCGTTCTCACCGAGAAATAACGGACCATATTTGCTAAAATCGTTCGTCTTTCGAGCAACGATCGAATCGGCTCCCTTTCAGCGTCTCTTGCCGCGAAACGTTTCCTCCGGTTTGCTGGCGTGGTTATTAGATCGAAGCCGCTCTCGAGCAGAGCCGATAAAGAGGACAAAAGCATCGCTCACCGGCGGAATCGATTTTCGGCGGATTCCTAACGATCTTTCTTTCTTTCTTTCTTTCTTTCTTTCTTTTTGTTACAGCCTGAGAACCGAGCAACCGAGTGGCCTCGACACGGGCGGCGTTCGTTTCGAGCTAAGCAGAGCCCTCGATCTCTGGGCGAGAAACTCCAAGCTTACTTTTCAGGAGGTTAACAGCGATAGGGCGGATATTCTGGTTTACTTTCATAGGTGAGTTCTCGTCTTTTATTGAAATTAGCTGAATCTGAAATTAGCTGGATCGCGATAGCCATCGCTACCACAGCTGTCGCGCTTTTCATATTCCTCTTAAGCTCAGAGGTAGCAACGACGATAATAACGCCGTATATTTATTTCGTTGCTTTGTCTGGAACATCTTAGAATATGAGAGGAAAAATATATAAGACGAATAACTTTAAGGAATTCCATTTGTAAAAATGTCGCCAACCTTGTGCAAGTATCGCGTGTATTTATTTTTTCTAAGGAAAAAACGGACGATCTAGAGATCAGGTACTTTAGAGTAAAAGGTAAATCGCGAAACTTGGATTATTTAGATATACGGATATACAGTTGGAGACAAAAGCGAGTGGACGAATAGCGAAGATAGTTAACGATAAAGTCTGATTGATACTTACGTATATACAGGGTGGTTGGTAACTGGCGGTACAAGCGGAAAGGGGGTGATACTACGCGAAAAAAGAAGTCGAAAATATAGAATAAACATTTTTCGTTCGAGGCTTTGTTTTCGAGAAAATCCACTTTGAATTTTCGCTCCGTACGCGTCCACTTTATCGCGTCTCGTTATAACGGATCTCACTGTAGATCGTTGTCTCGATGGAAAAATTGTTATTCTATATTTTCGACTTCTTTTTTCGCGTA